GGGGGCTGGGCCGTGGGGTCTGTGTCCTCACACTGAGGTGGGGTGATCACCCACGCGTCGGGGGCTGGGCTGTGGGGTCTGTGTCCTCCCACTGAGGCGGGAGATCACGCATGCGTCCTCGTGCCTGACACCTCAGTTCCCTAGCGTAGCTTGCCCATGTTGCCTTATCTTGTCTTCAGTCTCCTCAGGGTGCAGGAGACCGAGTGGCCTCACTGAAAGGTAGATACAGCCTCTCTCCCCTCCCCTCCCACCAAGCCAGGCCCCTCCCCACGGAGCTGCTCCTGACGCCTGGGTGGCCCTCCTCCCTCCATGTCCAGAGAACCTCTCCGCAAAGGTAGGCTCTCAGTGGCAGGGGCAGCCCCCAGCACGCCGGAGGACCGCGCCCGCCCCGGCCCGGCCGCCCGGCCTGCCCAGAGCCTGCTTCTCCTTAACTGTTTACGGAAAGACTAAGCGTGCATTCTCATGGCTTATTCAGGAGCGGGACTGAAATTCCATCTCTGCTTTCAAACACCACTGAGCAAACACTTATAATTATGTAGAATTTTATGTATGTATAGAAATCTGCCTGCCTGCCTGCCTGCCTGTCTGTCTGCCTGCCTGTCTGTCTGTCTATCTATCTATCTATCTATCGCGCCTAGTTATTTTTGTTTACTAAATCTGGTCAGTAAGACTTGAAATGTTATCTTTCTTTCAAAAAGTCTTTGCCTGTGTGTCATGTCTACAACTTAAAAGGAAACTTCCTCTTTAAGTAGCTCGCTAACTCGACAAGAGATTGCTACTAGTATTTCTCTAACTGGAATCTTTTACTGCCCGATTTTCTAGGTGAAAGGGTAATTGTAGCATTTCTAATTCTGATATGCAATTTAAATTTAAAAGCTTAAGTGATATAATTTTGGGTCAATTCTTCTCTAGTTTATATTTGCATTATTTAGAAGATATTTCTGCTTGGATAATTTGTAACACGGTAAGTGCATTTCTGTCTTGAAAAATGTATTTGTGCTTCTAATTCCTAACTAATGGGGAAGCAGAAAGTATTTTCCGTGTCAGATTCCATCAAGGCACTCCTCTCTGAAGGCCGCGGTAAGTTCTAGTTCCATGGGAATTTTGCTAATGGGTCTGTGCAGCCTTATCCACGGGCTCATATGTAGGATTACAAATTAAAAATCAAAGGGGAAAAACGAACAAGTGCGTTTTCTTCCTTAAGACTCGGGCAGAGTATTGATCTTCCTGCTTTCCTTCTCGCTTTGCCGTGTTTTCAGATCGAGTGAGTGGATGGGCGTAGACATTACAAGCGGTAACCACCCTAAGTTGGGCCTTGTAATCTTAGACTAATGAGGCCGAAGAAAGAAAGAGTCTCCCCGTCCGGGTGTCTTCAGTGAGTTTTCCAGGAAAACAGAAGATTGGAGACATCTTTGAGCATGCGTTTTGTTCTTGTGCCGACTGGTTTTGTAATGTGGTTAATGCCCACTGGCCGGTTGAGCACGCTGTGTGGCAAACGTCTGTGGGCCTGGCGGCTCTCTGAGCACTTACTCCACAGACTCACGCGCCCTCCACATTGGAGCTGCACTCCCGCTGCCCAGGGCTCTCGGGGCTGCTTCCCTTGTACCGCGTTCCTGTCCTGGGCAGTCCGTCCACTCTTCAGCTTTGACCTGTCATCAGTATTCCAGCGGCCCTAAATACATCTCTCCACCTCTTTTTCTAGTTTCAGGCTTCAATCAGATGTGTGTTTGTTTGTTTTTGTCGGTTGTGGGCCTTGAACTCTGGGCCTGGGCGCTGTCCCTCAGCTCTTCAGCTCAAGGCGAGCGCTCTACCTTGAGCCACAGCCCCACTTCTGGTTTTCTGGTGGTTTATTGGAAATGAGAGTTTCATGGACTTTCCTGCCCGGGCTGGCTTTGAACCGAGATCCTCAGATCTCAGCCTCCTGAGTAGCTAGGATGACAGGCGTGAGCCACTGGCGCCCAGCTCAATCAGGTGGTTTTAAGGAAAACTCTCCAACATACGACGCTCATTGTGCTTTGCCTGCCCAAAACTTGGGGTAAACTTGGGTCTGCTATTTCCCTTCTCCAGCAGAGAGCAAATACAGTGCATACTATTTCTACACTGTGCCGATTAACTCTTAGTGCTGTGTGCCAATTAGCCAATTTGTACTTTTAATAATTTTATATAATTCCTAAAGGGTGATGCGGCCCACTCTTCAAGACGCAAGTACTTAGGTTAGTGTTGGAGAGAAAACGAAAAGCTGTTTATCTGCCCCCGAGACTAGGCTTCATGGAGAGGGAGATGGTGTTTCTGAACCATGGCCCCGTGGGCCTCCCTGCCGTCAGCGAACGTGGCTTCTAAATTTAGCTTTGTCGGTGCACACGGGAATTCAGCCGAGGCCAGAGGCTCTGTGGAGATGGCCATGGGCAGGCGTCTGCGTGAAAGCCTCCTTGGAGTACGCTGCCTCTCCCTGGCCTGGCTCTGTGGCGTGGAGCACCGGTGAGGCCAGGCAGCCCGGCTGGCTTCCCCCCATCCCTGCCCCTCCCCGCCTCCCCCCCTCCCCGAGCAGCCCGGAATAGAAGCGACACAGCCCCAAAGTCTTCAGAATTGATTTGTTTCCCCAGGTACAGAATCAACCAAAAGCTGTGTGGTTGTTAGTTGGGCTTAGTTTAAGGTTACATGTGATAACACCATCATACATACTACACACGATTACAGGATCATACATGCTACATGCGACCACACCATCACACAAGCGATACATGGCTACATCATCGTAAACACATGCACAGTAGTATTCAACTGTGTGGGTTGAGTTTAATGTTACATACGTTCTCATACTCATATCTACCATTTCCTTAGCAGCCATAAAAGTTTCTCCAGTGCATGGGCCATGAAGCAAAGGAGAACGTCTCTATGTCCTGGCTCTGAAGCGGTTGTGTTAGAAGTTAACTTTTGCTGAGTGTCTGCCTTTAGGAAGGTAGCCCTTTCAGCATGCTCGGATCATAGGTCGGTTAGTGCTTGCAGGCAGTAGCAAGGCCTTAATGGCTGTGTGAGTGCCATCAGATAGGCCTCCTCCAGTGTCTCTGTGTAATGATATTTACTAGATTTCAAGTGGACTGCTGAGGAAGATGAAACATAATCTCTTGTATCATCTGTCTCGAAAAAGAAGCAACAGTGAAATGGTTCTCTTAGCTGGAGTGTATTTCATTGACCTTTGTGGGGCCACCTTGACTCCGAGCCTGTAGAGCTGAGGCCTTCTGCTGAAATGGAGTGCTACTAAGTGAGTTGGTGACATTTGGGAACCACGGGATTGGGGAGAGCAGGTACATGTTTGAAAAGAAAAAAAATCCCACCCAGAACAGCACAGAGCATGCTCGGAGGCGAAGTGGAGAAGAAAGTCGTAATGTAAATTCCACACAACTAAATTCTTTCTTTGACTTGCTTTTTTACAGGATCTGGAAAAAGTGCTTGTGGAATTCAGTCACCAAGAGTTGTTTGATTTCTATAACAAGGTCTGTATTTTTAAATAACTTTCTGATATGTCGTGTTTTTTTTTTTAAATGCTACTTTATCTTACAAATTTTCTTAAATGCCACATTTTGGAGCTGAGTTCTTTAAACTTCCCTTTATAAACACCTTACGTCTCCCAGCGGGAATTATAGCTGAGATAAGAGAATCTGAAAACAAAATGAGGAAGACAATTAAAATGGCTTTAATTAGAGCCAAGGCTCGAGCGCTCCACTGTGTGACCCCAGCCACCACGACACTTTATGTAGTAGCGTGTGAAAAACTTGAATTTCTGGGCTCAGGAAACATGGAAAGGGAGAGGCTGGTTTTGTAGATACTTATCTTTGAGTGTATTTTGAGTTTCTTTCTGAGTGCTGCTTTTGTAGCCCAGGAAAATGCATGCTCCTCCCCCCACCATTAAGATCTCATCATGTAGCTATAATTTAAAATGAAATTGCTGGGTGTGCTTAAAACAGTAGTTCTTAAAAGTCGTCCTCTCTTGCAGACTTGAAAAATAAGTGGCACGCCTCAATTCTGCCTTTACATAGAACAGTAGTGTGGGTGCTCCTTCCATTGCTGTGTGAATGGGTTTAATAGTGCGCACAGCTAGCCCTGCCATTCCCTCCCCTTTATTTGCATGTTTCTAAACAGCACTTCCTGTGCACACGCTCCTCTCCGCTCACCAGCCTCTCTCTGTTGTCTTGTGAATAGCTGGAGACCATACAAGCACAGCTGGACGCCCTTACGTGAGGCTGGAAGCCGGCTCTCCATCACCTTCCCGCCGCTCCACCATCCTGCCTGGAAGGGAAATTGCCTGGTTTTAGTTTCTGGAGGCTTCAATGGCTTTCCTCCTACAAATTGTATGGCTTGCCATTTTTTAAACAAGTTGACAGCCAAGGGGGGCGGGGTCACTGTCAGGAGCTCGATCTCCGCCTTTGTGAGCCGGTGCCGGTGGTGATGAGTGCTTTCAGCTCCAAGAAGTCAGAGGCCAGGACCGTGGTGTGGTTCTGTGTTTTGCGGCTTTACTGCCCGTCCTGCTTATTTTGATGCTACCTCTGTCATCAAGGTGGGTCCACAGATAGAGTACAGCAGAACACAGAACCTGAGCGATCACGTTAGCATCACCGAAAAGGCAGCCGCTCACCATCAGACACATTGCATACTTTCCCTACGATAAGTGCATTTGGCTTTAGTTATACATAATACGGGAAAGAAATTCAAAATAGATCTAGTAGTATTAGTTCTCTTGTGGGCTTCTCTGCGCTCTTGAATTTTTCTGAGTTTAATGAGTTAATCATAGCTTAGGTTTTGTGTGCTTTTCTTTGAACTGCCAGTTAATGATTCACTTCATAATATGGGTGACAGATTGAGATCATGAGTAATAGTAATTGCAACGAATCCTAAGTAAGCATTCTTACCATTGTTGTGCTTCTTTTTCTGTGAATATTAATTGGTTTCAGTCAATAAAAATTTTGTGTTTTGGGATAATTGGAGCTGGTGTTCAACATTTCTTATATATCTCCTATTTTTAGATGTGCCCGTGTGATATGTAAAGAATCCACTGCGTCTCCTCTGTATTAACCGCCTGTCCTACACTGTTTCCAGAGGGAGGGAGAAGGGGAGGAAGAGTTGAAATGGGCCTCACGCAAAGCAGTTTGAATTCAGGAGCTAAAACCATTACCATAGTTCTCATATGAGGTATCTGGGTAATAAAGTATGTTCTGTGTCTCTTTCAAGTAAACGTCCATTATACAGAATTTATACCCTCACCTGTTTATGTGTGTATTTGTATGTTGTTGCTTAGAAAACTTGGAAGTTTGGGTTGGTTCTTAGTTGAGTATTTCAAGTATTGCTGTCTGTAGATCATTGATTTTTAAAGTTTTCCAGAGTCCACCTTCCATTGTTAGTTTATCCCTAGGCCTGGGCATAATATAAAGGGACTTGTGGAGTCGAGTCCTCTTACCTTCTCTGTGTCTGTCTTCTTTAGACCTGGCCCACTGGGTCACCCAGGCTCCTCACCTCAGGAGCCAGGACCACACTAGAGGACACATGCATGCCCTGCCTGGCTTTCTCTCGCTTTTTAAGCTGCATGTTGCCCGTTCCCAGCGGTGACTGCCAGGGGTCACGGAGGAGCTGGAAGCATTTGGTAAGCGTTCTCCACACTCCCCCATTTTGTAAACAGCATCCAAACTGGTCTGATCCCCAGCGCAGTCTGTTAGCCCCTGCCGGCAGTGGCCGTAGAAACACTTTTCTTGATGTAATGGCCAGTGTAAGTGTCTCAACATTGCCCGTGATTCTTAGGATGCATTCTGTGATGCTCGCACAGTGATGAGTCACCTCGCGATACATTTCTCACAACACATTCTCACCTACCAGTAGGCAAAGCATGACTCTTGTCTTTTGTCTGAAGACGTACAGCTACTCCCTAGACATAGAAATCAGTGAACTCGAAGTGGCGCTGTGACTCAAGCGGTAGAGCGCTAGCCTTGAGCTGAAGAGCGCAGGGGCAGCGCCCAGGCCCAGAGTTCAAGCCCAACGACCAACCAAAAAAAAAGAAAGAAAGAAATCAGTGTACTGTTTTCATGTTCACTGCAAAATACTCGCAATTCTTCTCTGATTATGTGATAGATGATTATTTTAAATTGGGAAATAACAAAAATCATAAACAGCCTAAACTTCATTATAAGTTTTATTATCCATTTTAGTAGAAGCTGACATCATTCATTTTCCTACCTTTCTAACCAATTGAGGCTATGCTACGTGGAACTTGCCAGGTAAACCTTGCTATTGTCAGGGTCATGGGGCAGGGAACTGTGTGGGGTGAGCTCTAGATGCTGAGGGAGAGCCAGAAGCTGACCTCTGGACCTCTACAGCCATGAAAGAAGCCACCACGCTGTCCTTGCATGCATGGTCCACAGTGGTCGTGAGAGTACAAATGTTTGTTTTAAAAGTATGTGGTTATTTATTAAGCTGCAGTAGGGAACTAAAACACCTGCTATGCTCATTTGTTTATGTGTAAGTTCTCCATAATTATAAAATTACAGCCCGTTTTAGAAAATGTACAAACCCTTGCTTGATGCTGTCTCCTAAACTGGGGCAGTCATACAGAACCTAACATAGTGGGTAGTGAACACAAAAGCCCTTCAGTGCAGACAGACAGTGTGTATTTCTACAGCTTCGCTTCAACCCTAATCTTTGTCTTCCCACTAGAAAGTAGATTTCCCATGCTTCTTTGCAGCCACTTGAAGCCATGTGACTTCAGTCTCACTGGAGAGTTGCAGCTGAAATGTATGTAGATTGGGATTCGCGTCTGCTGGGGACAATAGATAGGAAGAGCCCAGGTCCCTGCTTGTCCCAGAGCACAGCTGCACATGTGCCCTTGGCCTGTGGACCACCACATGAGAGCTAAAAGCCCAGGTTTGTACAACTGCGTTTGCAGTTCAATCACGCTATAAACAGTTTAGCCTAGAACCAAGCTGATAGGGTGATACCGTGGGTTTGAATGGGCACTAATTTAGAGTATTTGTGCTTAAAGATAGCTTAAAATCTTACAATGCAGAGTTCAGACTACATCTACCTGTTTTAGAGAAAACAGGAGACTTGAAGAAGGAGAGAAAATTGCTTGAAGTCTGAAGCCTCAGGATAAACTGTCAACTGCTTACATTCCTCCTCCTTCATTGTGACTGCATTGGAAGAATTTGAGAACCTTGAGTACAATTGTAAATTTCCCCTTGTAATCTTCACATACTTTCTTTTCTGTGTTTGGAGAGGGCAGTTCTGACTTGTTCAGGCTCCTTTAGAAGCTCCTCAGGAATTTAGGCTTCATATCAATCAATTTTGATTCCTTAAAACTTTGATTTTTTTTTGCTATCATTATGCAAATAGCCTACTCAATAGACCAGCCTCATTTAATGGTAAAATTAGAAACACATTAATTTGAAGAATTTTATAGTAAAACTATATGCATTAATGGCATTTATAATTTAGGGGAATTTAAGGGTTTTTTTCTCATTGTTTCCCTGTCTCCCAAACACTTGAAATCTTTTTGGAAGCTGTTCCATCTCTAAGGTATCAGAATGCCCCAGCAGATCTGGGGACATAGCATAATTCCACGTGGCAACAGTTTTCCTAACCTGCTTTGTCTTATTTGAAATGGAAACTTATTAGTTTTATTTCCAAAGGAATAATCTGCATACTTGGCAAAATCCAGCCTATAAGTCAGTAAGGAAGGGGATGCTCCAGGGTTAGACTCCAAGACAGGGGAAAAAAAAGAATGCACAATAATGTTCCCCAGTAAAACCAGCCTTTTACCACAACCAGAATTTGAGAATTTCCATCTTTTCATGACTTGATTTTTTAAATGTTTTTTTTTTTTAAATCTAGGTAAAGGAAAGCAGTAGATTGTAGATTTAGTAGTTGTTTCTTTTTAAACTTTTCTTCTTCAGGTGGGGGATTTGATATTTTATTTGACAAAAACTGCATGTGCATATATTCTTGAAATTGAGTTTTAAAGAGCACAGCACATCCTGTGTGGATTGCTGAAGGAAACAGTCAATACCGTTTTTTCTCACCTGTGATAAGTGTAGAGTGCCATGATTTGTGAAGGCCTTTCTCCTCCTCGCTCCTGAGAGCTGTAGTTTTCCTCGTGCTCTGTTTCCAGTTGTGCACCGCATGTGGATTCTCCCTGCATGTTCAGCCACACTGCCTGTGGACAGAGCAGACAGCCGTCCCCAGCGGAAGCCCCCGACTTCCCTTCCCGCATGGGGTGGTGTGGGGTATGCGTTCCAGAGGCGCACAGTGATTTCCCAAATGATCGGACAGACTGATGCAGCCTAGACTGTGTGTGCTCCGTTGTGACCCAGCTTCTCTGTGACGTGCCGATGTGAGTAGTTCTGTGAGCATCACAGTGCTTCGGAAATATTGGCTGGATGACTTGGTGGTTTTTATTCTGTCTCCCTGTATTCATGCAGTACTCTGCATGCTTAAAACCACCAAATTACTGCACACCTCAAGTTGTCCAAGAGTAGTTTCCAGACTGCGTGTTCCTTTATTCATCAGCAGGGGATGCACAAAGCCTAATACCTGCGGGAGACGCAGATGTCTGCCACCCAGGAGGCTAGCGCAGGCGATCTCAGGGCTGTGAAGAGATTTATGGGAGTCATGAAGTTGACTGAGGCATGCTTCTCGGCAGCGATGCTGCAGAGACCGAAAGCAGTCGCATTCCCACCAAATTCTGAATCTGTGTGACAGGATCCAGCCAAGTGCTTCGGAGAGAAAACAAGAGTCCTGCACTGAGGTGCGTGTTTAGTGAGCTCGTTACCCAGAGGGTTTTAATTTCCTGCTGCAAGGTGCATCCCATAGACAGGCTCTGATACATAGTGCCTACAAAGGAACCTATCCCGCCACAATTCGGTGGCCAAGTTCTAAAGAGATGGGTCCCTTCTAAGTTACCATACAAACATACTACCTTGACAAAACCTGAGCAAGTTCACGTAGTTAATGCAACGTGCCGGCCAGGTAACGGTAAACCAGGCAAAATAGAAAGCGGTTAAACATCCCTCCTTATCCAAGACTGTACCTGTTAGTGAAATGAGTCCCTTCCCTTAACCTAGTCCACTCCTTCCCCTCTCCACAGCCTAGCATGCGTCCTTGCTAGGCAACACTAGACCCACGTAGTAAAGGCAGTAAATAACCAACTTGCAGCCCCTCTACCGCGGGATGGCACTCCTGTGGGGCAGCTGACCTTCAGGTCTGGGCCCCTGATCTACTGTGTGGTCAGCAGCCATCCATCCTAGTCCGCCATGATGAAGCCCCTGGCCCGCATGTCCACACCGGGGTCTCCTCCTCTAGCCCCTCCTAACCCCCCTAGGTCATCTAGGTCACCCCAGACAATAGCGGATGCTTCTTCTCACTCCTCCCTTGTGAGAAAGGGTCTTGCCAGCCCCCTTTATTGCCAGCAATCCACCTTTCTTTGTTCTCTGTACCTGGATGTCTGCGTGGTTCTCTGGCACAGTCTAATGAATCTTAATTTGCTGTCAGTGCCCTTAGCCACGGAGTCTGGAGTCCGCGATGGTCAGTTCCTTCTCGATGGAATGGCCCCTGCGACTGGTTGTCCTGTCTCATGTTGGGGTGCTCGGTGGGGTCCAGGTCCCTCTTCGTGTCAGAGCTCCGGTGCTTTGTACTACATGCTGTGTGATTTCTGGTGACTGCAGCCTCGAGGGAGGCCGCAGGTGCAGCAGCTTTGTGGACTTGCCACCACCCTGCTGCTGGCTGCGTCCGTTCCCCACCTCCCTCAGACGTGTGGGTCAGCGGGCTCGTAAAGCTCTGCTCGGCGCAGTCAGGTGTGTTGTTCATAGGCGCCCGAAGCCGTGGGCAGTGGCGCGTGGCCACCATCTGTGGGGGTCATTCCTTGGGGCACTGGGGCACGACGTGCCAGAATGTTCTGATTTCACAGCTCTGCAGTGGCTGTTCTCGGTCTCAGGAAGCAGGCCTC